ATATACACTCATGTGCAAAATTAAGAGAATTTGTAAGTTATGTATATTTTTACAAAATATATTGAACTAAAGGTACTAATTATGCAAATATTCAGAATCGATTACTTAAGTATTTACGTGCGTGTCTGCAAAGCTGTGATTGTAAACGGGCTTATAGGCGGAGAAGGGTTTTATTGGAGATTTGTGTGCTTGTACTCCTCCACGATATACGCCGTGTTTCTCGCTAGAATTGGATAAATTTTATAAGATGCCAGATAAAATGAGTAGCGACAAATGTCTGGATGATGGAATGAGATGGGTAATTTTCGATAGATTGGAGGCAGGCCAGTCACAAGCGCTTATCCGGCTACAGAGCTCAATATAACGCTCAGTGCCCTCTGCAGTTTGTGAAAACAGTTCGAAGACATTGAATCAACACAGAGGAGACTTATACGAGGTCGACCAAGGACCACAACGATGAATTAGGATCATTATTTGGCACTTTCAGCGCAGCGACCACAGGACTCTTATAGCTTCACAGCTTACACGTAAGCTATGCTGCCACTGAAACCCAAATTTCACTGTCTACACTTTCGCGAAGGCTTCATGAGATAAGGATGTATGCCAAAAGACCTGTTTGCATCCCAGTCACTGCAACATATAAGATTTTATTAAAAATAAAATATATTATCTATCACTAATCACTGGAGCACCATGCTTTTTATAGGTGATTTAAGTTTCAGCCTGGACAGTGAATCTCAACGTACCTGTATCTTTACGCCTATTCTACGATCACTGTATTTCATCTACTATTGCTCGTAAAAAAAAAAAAAAAAAAAAAAAAAAAAAAAAAAACAACCTTTATCGTCTACCATCTCCAACTTTAACGGACAAAACCAGTCTGTAGTCCTCGGGTAACAGGCGGTTGGATCCATTTGACTTCATTGAGAGAGGACAAGTCTTAAGCTTTACACCATTCATAGTACAGACAAGTGAAAGTGACGTAGATTATAGTTCGCGGCATAAATTCTAAGAATATTTATTTGAGCGCGTTATTTGGCTTTTGACAGGTCAGTGGCGTAACTAGAGATTTTGCCCCTTCGAGCGTTCCCTGAATTTACCGCCGTTCTTGATATATAAACAAATAACTAAAAAATGATATATAGGGAAACAAATTTACGTTTATTTTTGAAGAAAAATTTTAATTTCAATATGATAGCATTATTTGCTGTTTTGTTGTTCTCAGAACCCTTGATGATACATTAATGTATACATTAATAATATATATAGCCTGATAATACATCGTAGACGTCTACTTGATTGCTCCAGTTTCTATAATGTAGGCAGAAAGGAGGATTTCTTAACTATGTAAATATTTATAGCTTTTAAATGCTTCTTACATGGAAAAAAAAAAAAAAAAAAAAAAAGAAAAAAAAAAAAGAAAAGAAAAGAAAAAAATGTTCGAAAAAATACATTTAAAATGATTTTTAGTTAAAAAATTCTCACAACCAGCAGCACTTACAGTAATTGTGAGAAAAGTTTGCAATATTAGGAATTTATTCTGGACATTGTATTTTAGAATAAATAGCAAAAATTGTAATTTAGAATAAACTGCAAAAATTTAAAAGGACCGCCCCTCCGCGAAACATAAGAAATTGCTCTGCTGACAGTAGGCTGCCTGACTGGCAGGCAAAATTCATTTGTTACGGACTAGTGATAAGATCCACAAGCAAAAAACCGTAAACCATATAATGCATGAAATTATGACATTTCTTTAGAGTTTAATGAAACGGTATATAAAATTAGCAATTAAGATATTAATCTGGCACTATTCGATGTATTTATTACTGCGCGGGATCTAAGGAGTTCAATGAATTTAAGTTGATAATGTATGGGATTGGCTTTTTATATAAGTTACTTCAAGGAAATTGTTTGTATAACATATTGTTTATGCGATCTTATATAGTGATTGTTTAAGAGGATTATTGCATCTCTCTATGCGTGGTATGAGGAGTTATTCCATCCAGCTGGCAAATGCGAGATCTGTGGTTTTAATTCTGACATAAGCCCATTAATTTCTCACATTATGGATATGACAAAAAGTTTAACTTAACAGTAGCATCTCAACTAAAATGTCAGTCAGATTTGGTCAAATAAAGTTAATGGCTTTCCCCAATCACCCTTTAAATAGAGAAAAGTAAGAAATATCAAATTCCCCTATGCATACTCTCATTGTGTAAATGGTTAGCATATTCATCTGGCAACTGGAAGATCTATGGTTCGAGTCCTGACAAGGAAATGGTTGAATTCTCCATTTTCCCAACTGAATTATTTATTATTAGAAAAATATATTTATTAAAACAATATTTTGTCTGTATGTATACATCTAACAATATAACAAAATTGTAATACCAAACAACATCTCTTTTACAATATAAAATTAATAAAGTTTTCTATAAGCAGTTAATTTTTGTATTTTTTTTTAACTTTAAAGGTAAACCATTATGATTTTTGAATACTGATAGATTAAAAAATACTGTTTCATGAAGGAACCCTCAGTCTTATAATATTGCTACATTTTTTATATAATACTAGTAGTAACTTAGTATCATCTTGCTAAAAAATCGTAATACCTAAAAATAAATTATACAGTTATAAATTATATACAAAAATATTTTGTAGGTAGATATCATTTCAATTAAATAAAAAAGTTTTAAATCTACTGATATTTCCCATATATTAATTAATTTCATTTATTATATGTCAAATGATCACAATCGAGTTTTAAAACTCTCACCTCTCTCACTGTTAAAAATTTTAATTATTTAGTAATTTACAAGTAATAAATAGTGAATCAATTTGAAAGACACAGTGACCATTTCCATGAACATAGTGAAATAGGGTCAGTCTGTCTTTTAAACGGATTCATTATTTTACCCGCCACCCGCAAAAGTTATAAAGAGAAAAACTTCCTACGAGAATTATAAAGAGCTATTTATTTAAACTTGTAATATCAACATTTTATTTAAAATAAAATATATTAACTATCAATAATTAGTTTTAAATCGTAATGAGGATACAATTAAAAATTTATAAAAGTATCATAATAAATCCAAAAATTGTATATTTTATAGCTTTTATAATTCTTATATATATTTAAACAAATTTAAATTTAAACAAACATGTATATATGTAAAAAAGCAAATTTAAAGTTATAATAATTAAAAAATGTGCAAACATATAAAAAATTTAATTTTAATTTTCAAACTAATGAATGGCGCAAAGAATTAATTAAATTTGTATTTAAATTAAATTTATTTAAATTCAATTTTTTCTTTTGAAACAATATATATTACACGTATGTGAATTTTGCTTAATATTGAAAGTTGTTATTTATTAGGTTTTACTTTATTTTTAACTTAATGTTGTTAAACATTAATTAGTTAGAGTCTTGTCAGAAATCTGTATATTATTAATTGCTGAAAAATATGTGTTAGAAAAATACTTTACGCAAAACTGGACAAATATACGCTCTTGCATTGTAAAGGGATTTCCTTTCAGAAAAAATGTAGAGTCTATCTTTCTTTCAGTACATTCCTATTTTTTGAGCGTGACTCCAAATATTCTTTCAGCTCAGCATATCTTCTTATGACAATAAATTTTGGCAGTAAAGTATGCAATAAAGACAGACGGGAGAAATACCTTATAAAGTATCCATATATATACATTAGGTTGTACAGAAGTTCTCTGTTATTAACTAAAAAAAGGGAGGGGAAAGAAAAGAGAAATGAAATGTACATGAAAAGTAAAGTAGCTGTGATTGAACATGATTACCACAATTATGTGTGACCTATTCTCACCTATTTTATATGATTTATCCTACAAAGATAAAACTTCTCTATTTTAAAATTCAATTCTCTTTTCACATACTGCTCATCATTAAAGGTTTGGGAGAGCAAAGATGTTCTGCTTTTATTTCTGTATTGAATGAGACAGTAGTCTGCAAAGGTAAATTTAGGACACTTCCCAGGATAGAGTAACACTTTCCAATACTTTTTGATAAATAATTAAAACAACAATGAGATCTGGAACTATCATGGTAAAAGATAATGCCTTTGTGATTGACGAATGCTAAGTACTTACTAGATTCCAGTTCTCCTCACAATCTGTTCAGCTGTTTATAACAGAGATTGACATTTACTGTGTGTTTACATCTCAATAGATTATTCTTTTGACATTCTACTGTACACTTAATAAAATTATTCTGGGTTGCAATCTCTCTTTTAAGTTCGATGAGAAGGCTATGCAATTCATCACACTTCTTCAGTGCTTGACACCACACTTTTGTAACAAGAGGGGGGAGAAAAAGGAATTGAATGTGATATTAACTTTTTATTCTTGTGTCTTGTTTCATAGAAAATCTTACGTGTGGGTTCCTATATGCCAATCATTTTTGTGACTTTATTAAGAATCTTTGTTAGAAACCTGTAATGAGTGTCCAGCATATGATTGCCCTTTACACAATACCTCTAAACCATAATTTTTAAAGCCAACATTGACATGTTATCATCAACTGCATCTTGTCCATATCTGAAGATTGCTGCATGCAACAAACTATGGGTGCAGTATTGCCTTTATCAAATGTATACATTAAAAAAAAAAAAAAAAAAAGAAGAGTAAATAAAAAAAGGCTGTTTAGCCCCCCTTATCACTTGCAATTTTGAATATATAAGTTACTTTGAGAAATTCAGTGCGCTTAAATGCAATATTGTTCAAATTTTTATTGGAAGTTCACAGTTATTTAGTGTCATCTGTGAGTAAGTCATCTACCACAATATATTTCTTGTAAACGAGTAGAAATTTTACATACTCTCAATATCGGATGTTATTTTACATAATATAAATGTAATAAATAATGTAAATATGTATGTGTGTATGGGCTTGTGTACATATACATGCAAATTTCTTTTTTCTGTTGATTCTAAAATCTCGTTTTTTTTTTTTTTTTTTTTTTTTTTTAGGCTGTACCTTCTGCACCCCCTGTAAAATTATATTCGATTCGTACTTCATTGTATAACTCAAATACGCCGGTCTTTGCATCACCAGCTGTTATGTCTATTGCAAATGCTAAAGTAGCAACACTTGCAACAAATACAAATACTGTTAATGTTGTAAGTGCTATATCCCCTGCTATGAATGCTGCAAATATAACTCCTACTGGAAATGTCATAAACTTTGTACAAGTAGCAAGAAATATTCCTGTTTCTAATATTTCATATACTCCAAATGCAATTTCTAATCCAGTTCCACAAAATAATAATCTAACAAATGTCATAAATAATGTAACTGTAACTGCAGAAAGCAGTTTAGACTCATCACTTGTTACAGATATAAATGCACTAACAATAAATCCAACATCAGTCCAGTCTGCAACTTTCCCTTATGAGAAAAGCATAACTACAAATGAAAACTGTGATCCTAAGAGCTCTCGTAGCTCGTCATCAGAAAGTCTGCCATCTCTGGATGAGCTACTTAAAACAGATTTATCAGCTGTAAAAACCACAGAAAATGAACTTCTGAAAACAGCAGATTTATTTTTTGCAAAAACTTCAGAAATTTCTAATGTCACTATGTCTGGTATCTTTGAAGAAAAGAGTAAGGATCCAAATGAAGATTGGTGTGCTGTGTGTAAAGATGGTGGAGAATTATTATGCTGTAGTTATTGCCCTAAAGTTTATCACTTTGGATGTCATGTGCCTGCATTATCAAAACATCCCAAGTAAGTGGTATATTTTAATTTAGATTACACTGAAATAGACATCTATTTAAAATACTGTTGTTCTAAAATTAATCTTCTAATTATTCTTTTGTTTAAAAAACAGGTAGACTGTAAATAATTCATAAAATTTCAAAATGCTGTACCATTCAATTGTGATTCAGAGAAATATTCTGTTTTCAACACTTGAGTTTTGCTCAGATCTTTAAGTATGGCTAACATGAAATTTATTCCCTGATTGAATGAAAAGGAACACTTTAAATTGGAAAGTTCATTTCTCTACAGGAACTTTTGGAACAGCTGAATGGTCTGAGAAGAATGGCATAGATTTAACGAGAAAAGTTTATTTACATAAATTCATTATTTGGCTGTAACAAACTTAAAATTGCAAAAGAATAGATTAGATGAAGGGCAAAAAATAGGTTTTAACAGGTCTGCCAAATATAATTATGTGGCATTACCTAGCATAGCTGCAAAATCATTACACCTAATGTATTATATCTCTCAGTAAAATAAGATAAGACATCAAAGAGTTTATTTTCAAAGTAGATCTATTCATTGAAATTTTTAGCAGTCACAAAGTGTTTTTGTTTATGTGTCTGATAATGACAGTTTCAAGAATAAATTTCTTAACATCTTCATACTTGCAGCACTTGCTTGCCAAATATTAACAATGAATGATGAAACAACCAAGGCAAACTTAAGAAAATTATTAGCATTTTTTACATCATTGCAATTAATCTCACATGTTACATACTGTATCATTCGCAATAATAGCAAATTATTTGGAAAATAGTGTGCTTTGGTAAATGCATTATTTATTAATACAGCACTCAGTCCATCAACTAATCTTTGTATAGTTGTATGAGATGAAACATTTTAAAAAAGTGGAGGAGATTATGTGTCGTTTTGTATAACAGTAAATTTATAATGTATAATTCAAAGCATAATTCATAATTTACAATTAAGGCAAGAAAATTTAACTCATTTTGTTTTTGCGCCTAATTTTAGCTCTGATTTGAAAGAAGGCCTCTTTGTAGCACAATATGAAACTATGGCTGCGCTTCATACAAATATAATGCTACACAGAATGTATCGTGCGATGTTTAAGTCCTAAATGTATGCTGTGTGAAGCTATGTGACTAAAAAGGCACTGAAGTTTTCTATTACTTAGAACAGAAGCAATTTTGGCTACATTTTTCTTAAAAGATTTGTTGTCTGTGTATAGGCATTTATTATAATTTACAACCAACAAAATTTACTGGTTATTTATTAATGATTTCTATATACAGCTAATTTTTTAACCACAGTTCTAATTATTGGAGAATAAATCAGCTTTTTTTATTTTCTGTTATTCCAATATGTTTTATTTAATGTTGAACACTATTTCTGACTATATGTTATATGTGCCTATTGTCACTGTATGCAAAAGAGATCTAATTCTTTTTTTAATTTTGTGTGTAAGATAACTAAAACTTTGATTTGTAATAGTAAAAACATAGTGTATTTCTACCTTGTTTTATTTTATTATTTTTTTTTAAAAATTATTTTTGGTGTGTTTGTATGCATGAGTTACATCAAAACAAGTTTCTTTACAAAGATATTAATAAGTATATTTTCACATTTTAAACATTGTCATACTACTAAGATTTTGCTCATTAGTTATAATATCTATTAAAAGTTTGATTTTTTCCATTATTTCATTTAAATCTTTTAATTTTCTCGCAATTTAAATGGATGAGCAGATAATGAATTATTTTAAAATTATATAGATTTAATTCAGTATATTTTTTATAATATTTGGTTAAGCTAGGAATTCATTCATTAGTCATGAATATATGATGGCAAATTTAAATATGATACTAATATATACTTGTAAATTTTTATCTTTATCCAATGCAAAAGTAAGTATATGTCTTGTACAAACATATCTTTAGAAAAATCCTTCCCAAAAGATTTTATGCTTATTATGCCTTGTCATTATGTTCTGTCTGTAAGGGTGAAAATTTTTTTAGTTTTTAAATTTTATTTAGACGTTGTTATGTTATGCATAGATATATCTTAATAATAATATGGTTTTACTTTGTAGTTCTAAAAAAAAAGTTTAGTTGTTTTAAAATCTGTTACAGTACAAAATCCGTAATCCGGACGTCCATTATCCGGAATGATCTATAATCCAGACTTCTAAACCACAAACTTTTTTTGTATGCTTTACGTATGCGTGTTTAATGTATAACGGACAGTATAAACTAGGCTAAAGTTATCTTTATTGATACTAAGGCATTTCAGTTACTGTTGCAGATTGCGCTATTCCTTAATCTCTAATTGGATCTGGCTTATTATTTTTTGCAGACTGTTAGAGCAATTTTATAAAAATTAAGCTTGAACTTTCGATTATGTAAAAAGAGTTTCTAATTCTGGTTTTCGGACATCGCAAACTAAAGGTGAAATTTTCCAGTTATTGGATTTTGTAAAGAAATGTGGAGAAGCGGTAATAAATGACGATGATGTAACAGATTTTCATTGCGACGACAATGCCCCAATCGTCAATCAGTTAACGGACGGTGAAATCTGTAGTATGGTTCTAGATCCAGAAGATACCGCTTCCGATAGTGAAGAAAGTGACAGAGAGGTATTGAAAACGAAAAAATTTCGATTGACAAGTTAGTCGGTGTTCTCGACACAGCAATTACAGGACTTGAACAGTGGAACTTTGTAACTGAACAAGAAATTATGTCTGTTATAGAATTAAAGAGAAAGTATTATCACATAAAACGAAGCAACTTAAACAACTTACATTGAAAGAAATGTTTAATAAAGTAAACAAATAAATATTAAGCTCTTTTTTTTTTTGTAAATTTTGATACCCTTTAGATCATAATTGCTCTTTGTTTCATAAATTACGGTTTCATATTTTTAATCGTATAATTTCTGCATGCCATCTTACCAGATTTAAATTGATGATCTATAATCCGGAAAAAATACTAATCCGGAATCTCCGAGGTCCCAACGAGTCCGGATTACGGACTTTGTACTATATAATATTTCATTATAATAATTCATCTGTTATAATATTTAAATTCTTTACAAATCCATTGTAATGCCAAAACGTCTATCCAGTGCTTCATTTCTTCTTAAAAAATAAAATTTCAGCCTTATGTATTGGCTTGCAGTTTTTTGGTGCAATTATTATTATTATTTTTTTTTTTTTTTTTTTTTTTTTTTTTTTTTTTTTGCTGTGTACCACTTAATATATTGTTTATATCATCAACTTTTTATTAACACTTTCATTGACTGTAGAATTTTAATTTATTTTAGTGATGATGATTGGAGATGTGTTATGTGTAAAGATGTAGTGAACTGCTCCATTCCAAATGAAGGAAGCAAAAGGAAAGTTCTTGGCGTACAAGGCAGAGATTTATTAGTATGATTTTGATATTTTATTTAAAAAAAGGGGGGGGAGTATTTTTAAGGAAATTAACAATTTAAGTGTTTTCATAAAATTGCCATCCTTAAAATTTAATTCTGTATTGTAAAACCATTTACATAAGCATAGTTTTCAGAAATAGTACTTCCTTTTAATTAAGTTGAGAAATTTGGGCATGAGCGCACATACGCGCATAAAAAAAGTAATTTCATCCATGTCAGTTAATATTTTTTGCCCTCCTTGATTTTAAAATTAGTATACTTATGTGTATGCTTTATATATGTGTTTTAACCAAGAGGTAATTGAAGATTTTTAATCTAAACTATACGTTCTTGTACTTTATTTTTTTAACTTGAATGCAATTCAAACGCATACATTCTTTATGCAAATGCAATAGTCACCAAAATTATCTTTCTGTACCTGGAGGGGGGATGATATCTTTAAATTAATTCCATTCCAGTTATCTAACACTCACAAACAACACACACACATTAAAAAAAAACTTATTTAAAAATTTTTAGAATATCATTTGCATTATGTTGCATGCCATGTCAAATTATACAATCAGTTGATTGTATAATTTGACATGGCATGCAACATAATGCAAAAACAGAAAGGGAAATGAAATATCAGTATTAATGCATATGGCATAAAGCTATATACTATGAAAGAAATAAAACCGAATTAGTGTGTGAATATGAAATTTTTAAAACTTGTACTTAAATATTGACATATTGCTGTATTAGAGTATTACTTTACAACATATTAAGACCTTTAGAAGAATTTTGCATATTAGGCTTGTAAGCTCTTCTGTGAAATTCAGATAAAAAAGTTTGGCATATGTTGTAAACCACAGTTGTAACATAATCGTAAAATTGATCTCATGAATTATGACAAAGACCTTTTTAAAATCCAGGTTTTAGTTTTATGTGTTTAGTATACTGTGTGTTGTGAACTTGATTAACAGTTTTCTTTGCATGATGAAATGCATAGAATTGCAAAGTATATAAGCAAACATAAAATTCTGATAGTTTATTGAATGTAACTGTGAGAATATTTAAACAGCATTCTGGTAATATCAAATAAATTCAGGGTGTCTCTCAAATACTGTTAATATACTAGATCAGATTTTCAAATTTCAGTATACTATTGCTTTAATTGATATACATATATATATATATATATATATATATTAATTAAATTATATATAGAGAGAGAGAGAGTACAAAGTCTTTAATCCGGACGTCCATAATCCGGAATGATCTATAATCCAGACCTCAAAGCTACAAACTTTATGCGCATGCGTATAATACGTTTACGCATGCTCGTTTAAGGCATGCGTCCGCTACGCATGCGCGTAAAGAGAAGAAATACTGTTTAAAGAGAGAGACTGTTTATAGAAGAGAGATGAAGATTTCAAAGAAGCAATAGAATGGCTCCAAGATAAGAAAATTAGAAGATTTCTCAGCGAAATAATCAGCAGTATCCAGAAAATCAAAGCGGCGAAGTCGACAGCAGAGAAGTTTACTGCCGGCTTCAAAGCAGCTTCCATCCTTATGAAATTCGCAGAATAAGAAGAATAATTTCTCATTTTCCAATGCAACTGAAGAAATTTTCATTTTAATTCATTAATTTCTCTATTTTCATCACTCCATCTATCGTCAACCAAACTTCTCATCTCGGAGTCTGTACTTGGGTTGGTGACCACCCACGTGACTGGCCTCAGCGAATAAGCTATCACTCCTCTCCCAGCTCGACGGCTCGGACGGTGAAATTATTTCCCACTGAGAAGAGGCAATCTACGTTTTTTCCACCGCCAATGGAGTTCTTCATGAACTTTTTCATTTCGCTTTTTAGCGAAGCGTTTAACGCTTGCATCAAAAACATTTACCAACGCCTAAGGGCTCAATTTTGCCATGTTAACCGGTAAAGGTCTGACAGACTAAATGCCGGTCATCACCATCATGTTCCACAGTAGAAGAAAGAATTAAAGAGAAAGTATTTGCACAATAAACGAAGCAACTTGAACAACTTGCATTGAAAGTAAGCAAATAAATATTAAGCTTTTTTTTTTTTTTTTTTTTTTGTGTGTGTGTGTGTGTGTGTGTAAATTTTGATACCCTTTAGATCATAATTACTCTTTATTTCATAAATTACGATTTCATATTTTTAATTTTATAATTTCTGCATGCCATCTTACCAGATTTAAATTGATGATCTATAATCCGGAATCGGCGAAGTCCCAACGAGTCCGGATTAAAGACTTTGTACGGTGTATATATATATATATACACACATATAATATATACGTCTACTAAAAGCTGCATCGGGTGTTTATTAACAGTAACTCTATACATACACTGGTGTGCAAAAATTCAGGACGAGTCGTTTTTTTTTCAATATAACTTTGTACGAAAGCTTTCCAAATCAATACATTTTAATACCGTAAGATCCCCAATACGTAAGGACATGAGTAATGTAAGCAACACTTACTAAAAGAGAAATCAGAGGGATAAAAAGAATTTTATTGAAAAAGTAGCATGGAGCACAATGCGACTGAAGGACGAAACATCCCTGTGATGGGTGTCCAGCAAAAAACATCCGGTCTTTAATAGGGAATATGATCTCCCCTGACTGCTAGGCAGGTTTCACAGTCTGTCCATGCTGAGAATGAGGGTGTCAATGAGTTGTTGAGGCATTGCTGCCCATTCGTCTTGCAGCGCCAATCAAAGCTCCGGAATCGTTACTGGTGGTAAGGTACGAGCTGCCAAGTGTCTGCCTAGAAAATCCCATACATGCTCGATGGGATTGAGATCCGGAGATCATGCCGGCCAATCCATACGTTCAATATCCTCACTCTCTAAGAGCTGTTCGGCAGCTACTGTGCGATGACATGGTGCATTGTCATCCATGAAAAGGAACTGCGGACCCATAGCGCCTCTAAAAAGATGCACATATGGAAGAAGAATCTCGTTACAATAACGCGTCCCGTTGATTGAACCTGCGTCGAAGATGTGAAGGTCTGTACGACTACCAAGCATGATGCCTCCCCAAACGAGAACACCGCCACCTCCATACCTGTCCCTTTCAATGATGTTCGAGGGATGATTGCAGCTTCCCTGCTCTCTCGAGATGTGTATGCGATGAAAATCGCTACTCAGACTGAATCTGCTCTCATCTGTAAAGAGTACTCGTCCCCATTCATTGTCTCTCCAATTCCGGTGTTCCCGGCACCACAGAGAACGCCTTCTCCGATGGGCAGGCGATGGGCAGGCGACACCATACAGGGCGTCGTGCAAACGGACCACCACCGTGCAGTCTTCTGGCCACGGTAAAACGCAATATCAATCGTCCAGTCACCTGTGTCATGTGTCTAGCGATTTCTCCCGCTGTCCTGTTTCTTCTGGCCTGTAAGGCAATATACCGGTCATCTGCGGGTGTGGTTCCTCGTGGACGACCACTACTAAACCCCCCGGATAGCTGTTCCTGTAGTTTGAAATTGTCTCCAAAGTCGTGAAGCGATGCTGTGAGCAATTCCGAACTCTGCAGCCACACTTGTCACACTACGGCCTTCCTCCAACTTCCCAATGATTCGACCTCGGGTAAAAGCATCCAGATGTCGTCTAACAGATTGATTATTTGCCATTTCTCGCTGAGGCAGCAAGTCGGTGTGATTTTAACTGCTATACGGCATGCAACCTCTTTGCCAGAAATACTGATCTTACACCGACAACATGCTTTATACTACTCAGACACTCTCCCATTACGTCTACCTGCATATCTGCGCATGTGCTACCGTACATAATCTCTTGATTGGTCTTTCTGTCCGCTCTGCCTCTTCGTTCAGCTGATATGCTAATTTTTCGACTTTGTATTTAATTTTTGCACACCAGAGTATATGGCCATAAAGGGGCTGCCACAAAATGTAGATTTACATAGATTTAGCTGACAATGAAAGGAAGCAAAATATCGAATTGAAATCAAGCAGAACGTAGATACATGAAACTGCCAAACGGAAAGTATATGTTAGCATCCCGAAAAATATGCATGCTTCCATCTATGTTGCCAGCTGACAAAAACAAACTCCTGCATTTGCAACAGCTTAGTTGCTGACACAGAAAATTCCATATGCATGAGTAATAGCTAATCCCAGACCTTAATACATTGAAAATCAGATTAGCATGTTTTTCAGTTTGTGTTGGGTATATTTTTATTTGGACACTCCATAGCTCTGCATATGATGTTTATAATATGGGTGATATGTGCATTAAATAATGAATACTGTACCAGAAAATGAAAAAGCTAATAGGAATATTAATTATATTAATTCCTTAAGAGAAAAAAAATGCTAATGTGTAAAATTTTTCACATTGTTTTCATAAGTCTCCGTATTAAATGCTCTGTTTCTTAGCTGTTATGCCTGACACAGAAAAATCCATATGCATGAGTAATAGCAAATCTCAGACCTTACCACATTGAAAATCAGATTAGCATGTTTTTCAGTTTGTGTTGGGTATATTTTTATTTGGACACTCCATAGCTCTGCATATGATGTTTATAATATGGGTGATATGTGCATTAAATAATGAATACTGTACCAGAAAATGAAAAAGCTAATAGGAATATTAATTATATTAATTCCTTAAGAGAAAAAAAATGCTAATGTGTAAAATTTTTCACATTGTTTTCATAAGTCTCCGTATTAAATGCTCTGTTTCTTAGCTGTTATGCCTGTTTAAACAGTCAAAAAAAATTAAATGTCTCTGCATGAAGAAATTTATTCCTAAACCGGTAATCATTTCAAGTATAACTTTGACTGCTACTGTATCAATGCTTTTCAGCTTTTTCTTTTTGATCACATATCATAATGTTATCTTCCCCTTAATGATTTTTAACTCAAATGATGCGCTGCATGTGATTTTGAAAAGAAATTATTCTAACATGATCTAAAGATTTTAATTGGGTGTATTTAATAACATCAAGAAGAAACTTGGTCGGTTTTCCTGTATGATATGATGGTTAGCAGAGTCTAATTGCTAGTCTGAATTTCAAAAGGCATGTATGAATGCTGCATAAGGCTTTACTTTTGTGTGCCTTACCTTTTTTCTGCTAGCACATTAGTCTACTCCCTGTGGTTCATTCTGAACAATGTTCTCATTTATGAGATGGCTAAAAAATCAAGAAATTTAGTTACTTCTGACAAATTACTCCAAAGCAAGTAACCAAATGAAAAAAATATATATCTATGCATCATTACTATCTACTACATCAGCTATTTTATTTTAGGTCATATGATTTCAGCTGTACCATACCTGTACTCGTGTGAGCCTTTCATTGTGGTTTGAATTTAGCAAAAATATGCTAATCTGAAGCTAAATGACTGCTTCCCTTCCAAAAAAAAGTCTGCATGGGAGGAGTTTAGTTTCAATAAAGAGACATTTCTATTAGTTTGCTTTACTTACACAATGTGCTGTGTTTAACTTTTCAACTTTCTTGAGTTTGAAAGTTTTAAATTGCCTTTGCTGTGAGCTTTCTCTCTCGTTTTCTTCTGAGAACTTCTGTACTGTGCACACACGAAAAACTTTTCCCCAGTTTTTTCCTCCTTTATTAAGAACTATTTTATGAAGAGTGTATACAGTCAAAAGTCGTTAATCCAGACTCGTCGGGACTTCGGCGATTCCGGATTATCGATTTTTCCGGATTGTAGATCATCAGTTTAAATCTGGTAAGATGGCAAGCAGAAATTATAAAATTAAAAATATGAAACCGTAATTATAAAGAATAATTATGATCTAAAGGGTATCAAAATTTACAAAAAAAAAAAAAAAAGCTTAATATTTATTTGTTTACTTTATTAAACATTTCTTTCAGTGTAAGTTCTTTAAGTTGCTTCGTTTTATGTGATAATACTTTCTCTTTAATTCTATAAACAGACATAATTTCTTGTTCAGTTACAAAGTTTCGCTGTTGAAGTCCTATTATTGCTATGTCGAGAATACCGACTAATTTGTCAATCGAAATTTTTTCGTTTTCGATAACCTCTGTGTCACTTTCTTCACTATCGGAAGCGAATTATAATGACTAGGAATTTGATTTAAATCATATCAAAGACAGAGTACATCGAGATGAAATACTACATTTAGTAAGGAATTATAAGCCAAATAAAATAAAAACATCTGCCCTGAAGATAAGGATAGTGCTAACAGATCAACTTTCAATTCATTGCGCGCCACGGCTCCCCCCCCCCCTCCACAGAGCAGCGTGAAATTGATAAACAGATTTCGGAATGGTTAGAGAAACAAAGGATATGCCTTTATCCAGTTTTTTTGCAGCAATTCCACTTTTTGTTTAATGGACTTCGAAACATACTTTCGCTTTGTAGATCCTTTGCATATTAGTAAATATATATCGGAAATTCTATTTGACATAATTGAAAGTTCAAGCTTACTTTTATAAAATTGCTCTAACAGTCTGCAAAAAATAATAAGCCGGATCCAATTAGAAGATTAAGGAACAACGCAATCTGCAACATCAACTTAAATAGATAATTAGGTAATTTTAGCTTACTTATACCGTCCGTTATACATTAAGCGCACATGCGTAAACGTATTATGCGCATGCTCACAGGCATATTCGCATCCATAAAGGTCTTACGCGCATGCGCAGAAAGTTTGTAGCTTTGAGGTCCGGATTATAGATCATTCCGGATTATGGGTGTCCGAATTAAACGACTTTTGACTGTATTATGTAAAAATTTTTAATGGCAAATGTAGCATATGCATGCAAATTATATGTTATAATGTATCTCAGAATCTAGCATCTCAAAGTTTTGAAAAAAACTGGACATATAAAGTAACATTACCTTGCAGATTTTAAAAATTCAAAATTCTCATCAAACAAAAATATTTTCTCACTTATAATATCTTTTGTCAAGAAAAATTTACATTTTTATTAAATTATTTGATTAGTAAACTGCCCAATCTAAAAGGGGTATCTGTATGTATTTTATGTGTAATTTTTTGGAGCTTCTTGAATTAAAAAAAAAATTTAAAAAAGATTAAAAGCGTTTTACATGTATTTCTAAAATTATGCAGTAAAATATATTTAAATTTATAATAGAAAGCTAAAAATGCATTTTATGTAATGTTACTTTTTTTTCATTTGACTTAAATTATATTTTATATTGCAGTTAATAATACATTTGCTAATTTATGTATTTTTTAATCTGAAAACTAAAGCTGGTAAATTATCAAATTTTGAACTCAAACTTCAGCAGTTTTTAGTTTTTGAAGTAACTAAAAACTTTAAAAGAGCTGAACTTTAAAATAATTAATAAGCAAAAAGTATAATAAGAAAGTGTATGCAATAAAAATAATTGTTTGTTATTTATCGATCAGAATATTATTATTTGCTCATTTTAAGTATGTTATTTTTATATTTATATCTATATTTAGTAGGAAGCTAATATTTTATTTCCCCTCTTACAGATATGTGAACGAATTCTTTTAGAACTATTTTGTCATCCTAAGAGCTTTCCTTTCCATAATAAAGTACACAAAAAGGTAATTAAATTACTGATTTATAATTTTATTAGTACTTTATAATTATCTGTACCCCATCCGGAAAGGTGCTAGCTTTGAAAAGCATTCGCTGACTTAATGGTGCTTTTGGAGAGAAATAACAAAATCCTGAAACAAGAAGGAAAAAAGAGGCACGTGTTACCTGTAAGCAAGCCACATTATGCTATATATGCAGAAAACTAAGTCCAAGACTCTGCTGAGAACAACAAATCTGCAGTATGTGGTCCACTTGTATGCTAAAAGGCTGAAATTCTCATAGGAGGGATCATAAGCTACAGGCACGCTAGCAAAAATGCCTTAAGAAATAAAAACTGTCTGGCAGAACAAGCATATTTCGGTGGCCACATAAGCATATTTTGGATGCAGAGTGTTTTATCTCATCTACTTTCTCTTGTCTTTTCAGCGAGAGTGCAGATAATCAGAAATTCTGTAGTGTAGAAATCTGTATACTCTTCTGCTTCACTACAGGGTCATGTTGTAAATGTAGTAACTACTATCATGCAGCAAACATTGCAGTATTGTAGAAGTAAAGAATCTTTATATTAGCTGTAATTTTTTTCTTAATGGCTAAGCTTCTGAAGCAGGTGGATGTTTGAATTTGATTAGTAAAGGTTTAATAAAGTCACAGAATCCAAGGAGAAGCTTCACAAAATGGAGATTATGATAAAGCATAGTTTAAGATAAGATTTTTAATTTAAATGTTAAAAAGTAGTAAAATGAAATAATAAATGCAAAATTACATATTTTAATGTATTCATTCCATCAAAGTTATGTATGAAAATTACAAATTAATTTCGAAAATAATCAGCTACTTTAAAATTGTTTTGGTTGTCGGAAAAAACATTTCATATCATAATAAATCTCACATCTTTTAATGCACAGAAAATGTCTTCTGGTTCACTTTCTTCAAATTGAAAACTGCTTCGTAAAGTATTAAATGCATTTTAACATATCTTCTGGCGAAGGTTATTTTGCACATTCATTTTCATTAATGCTTTCATCTTCTCATCATCATTCACTTTCTAGCTGCTATTTTTTATGCTCTCCAATATATCTTCTTCAGTAGGAATTCCCATGTCTTAGCATTATTATCAAGCAATCCTAGCTACAACTCTGTAAGAGTTTAAGAGATGAAGGAATGCGACACTTTACAAAAAGAAGAAAAGGAAGAACTGCCTTCCAGATTTGAACAAATATAGTTTAATTGCAAAGCTATACAGAATAATAACTTATGTTAAGACATTCATATTTAACGTGACAAGCAAAAACAAGGAAGACATAATTCAAGTTGAATCAAGTGCAAGTGAAATTTCTAATGCTGAAACCTATTGGATCAAGAAACTACAGAAAGAAAATTTTCCAGAAAAAAAAAAAAAAAAATCGGAAAGAAGGAACATGCATTCCGAAAGAATCAAACATTCAAGATTTAAACACAGCTTTAGATGAAAAAGAAATTATTGTAGTTGGCGGGAGATTACAAGAATCAAAGATGAAGTTTTAAGAAAAGTATCCAATGTTATTGCCCGCAAAAAGTGTAGATTCACTGAGCTTTATTGAAGATGCTTATGAGAAGGTATATCATGCAGAAATTTCTGATGCACTTGTCCAAACTCGAGAATGATTTTGTGTTATGAGTGGAAGACAGTGCATAACATCTGTTCTAAAAAGATGAATAATGTGTAAATATTATAATGTGGCCAGGAATGCAGATTACAACGTCTTTGCCAGCTGACAGAATTGAAGGGTCAGCACTTTTGCGATAATGGGGATAGACTTTGCTGATCTGCACTTTGTCAAGAACATGTGGTAGTAAATTTTATATACTTTTGTTTACCTGAGCTGTTACATGAGTAATCCTCTAAAATTAGCTCCAAATATGATAGCAGGGGAATTCATACTTGCTTACAGAAGATTTATATCTAGAAGAGGTTTGTGTCTCATCATCTCTGCAGATAATGCTAAAATATTTAATCAAGCTAAAGTGAACTTATGCTAAATATGAAGACTGATTAATGACCCTGATATAAAAGAAATTTTTTCATCCCACCAAATCAAATGGAAATACATCCTTGAAAGAGGAGCTTGCTGGGGTGAATTTTATAAAACAGTGGTCAGATCAGTAAAAGCAAGTTTGAGGAAAACAACTGGAAAATCTTCATTGACTGTGAAATAATTAGAGACAGTTCTGATTGAAACTGAGGGAGTCATAAATTCGAGATATTAATATACACTTATTCAAAAGCCAGTAGAACCATTTCCCTTAGCACCTTTACATTTCCTTATGTAAAACTGAGCAATTCAGACTTTTCACAAATAAGGATGTTTTATTGAAACATTTTAATTATAAAGAAAGCTTTTTTAATTTATTCTGGAAGTGATGGAGAAGTGAATGTCTTATGAACCTACGATCAGCGCACACAATACAGAATTCAAAAGAAGTCCAAAATTTTAAAGTTAATGATTTGGTGTAAGTGATGAACATTTTCCACAAAACATCTGGAAAATGGGTAAGAACATAGAAGCTTTCCCCGGTCATGATGGACAGGTAAGAGCTTGTAGTATTGAAACTAAAGATGGAACTATTTGGAGACCAATCCAAATTCCTGTATCCATTTGAAAAACAAGATTAAATTGCTTTCTATGATTGACTTTAAAAGGACTGTAATTAAGTTTACAGATTATATCTGAATGTATTATTATCACTGTATTTTAATATTTTTGTGAATTTGTTATTGAATATTATAATTTAGTAATATATGTAAGCGTAATGTAGTGCTTTTCTGCTCAAAATATTATTTTGCAAAATTTTAATTGAAGATATTTTACAAAGATTTGTATAATTTGCTGCTCATTAGATCAAGCTTTAAAAGTATTATATTTATGTTATAATTAGAACATTATTCATTTGATATTAGAATGCATAAAAATGAAGCTAGTTCATCCCGTGGGAGGAATGCATGAAGAATTTTTATGTATTGATGGTACTATGTGAGAAAATGTTTGATTGTATTTTGGTTCGTGGGAAAGAAAACACTAGCTTATAATGACAGGAAAAACTACTGCTCGTCTTAAATAAATGTTCTGTTGCTAGATGTAACTGTAGTCATGGATCACTTATTCAAGAATTCTGTGGATTACTATTAGCCTGGAACCCACTCCGAGAAGATCTGATTAGAATTCAACAATTAAAAAGGACAGTTTGATGAAAATGTTGATTTTTATCATCCATCTTTCAACATAAAATACCTGGGTACACATTCCACAGTTCTGATAAATTTCTTCAAGCATGTTGATATGTTAGTTGGCACAGTGCATTCTCAAAAAATGGTTTCAAATAACATAAAATCATCTGATTATTTTTACAGCTACCTTGCAGAAGAAACGGAAAACTTTCTGTACAATCTAATACATATGTGTGGATTATTTGTTTATTTTAGTTCACATCTGAGCTTCATTTTGCATTGAAAGTTTTTGATGTAACCATGGCATTAACCAAGTCATAGATATATTTATGAAAAGGAAATTATCTCATGTATTTTAAATTTTTGCAGGTTCCAAACTATTACAAAATAATTAAAAACCCAATGGATTTATCTACAATACGGATGAAATTATCTCCTTCTCATTTTGAACATTATGAAAGTGTATCTGACTTTCTTGCTGATGTTCGTCTAATATTTTCAAATTGCTATACATTTAATCCAGTGAGTATATTTTATTTTTTATTTATACGATAGGGAAATGTGTATAAATTTGTCATAAATTAAGCAATCTTGCTATGTTGGTGTATATGATTGAAAACATTTTCAGTTTTAAGGTAATTCTTGGTTATTAACCTTCTAAACATGCAATATATATTCAATAATGTTTTTCGTGAGGCCTTTAAATACATAAATATGCATTGTGAAATGTGTCCAGATAATTAAGATGGTAATAATAATTTAATAACATAAAGGGTAGCAATAATAATTGGAAGAAAATTTATCAATGTACGAAGTGGGAAGGTCATTTCAGAATTATGATCAATAAATTACCATTTACTCAGGGCATTTCTGGGAACTTCAGGGGTTCAGTTCCTTGGCTCTTTGGAGAGCTAATTAATTTATTATTATTATATTTTAATTTCTGTTTCATAAAGGTATCACGTTGACCATTGTAAAAAAGATCACATGTATCTGCATTCTCATGAAACAACTGAATTATCATGAATATGAGACTTTTGTTAATTAGTATAGACAGCTGTTAGAAACTGGTTTTCACTACTTATTTCTAATTTCATTTATATATTTATTCTTGATGTTACTGTTACTCATGTTGTTTGCGGATATTAGAAACTCAATATAGCAGAGAGTGGTTACTTGCATGCATGAGAATAAATAATACACAACATACCTGTTGGGAGTTTGGAACAGAAGTAAAGTTTTATTGGAGTGCACAGTTATAGAAGAATAAATATTCTTGATGTTACTGTTACTCATGTTGTTTGCGGATATTAGAAACTCAATATAGCAGAGAGTGGTTACTTACATGCATGAGAATAAATAATACACAACATACCTGTTGGGAGTTTGGAACAGAAGTAAAGTTTTATTGGAGTGCACAGTTATAAAAGAATAAAAAACAGTGGTGCCATCTATGGGCCAAGAACATATTTAAAGCTAACCTTTTTTACACTCCCACTTTAGGTTTAAATATCATCCTAATTAAATACATTGAGAAATTACATCAGCACACATACATATAATAAAACATTAAATTACATTGGTCTTCATTTTAAACCCATCATTTTTGCACACATTTCATGTTTTGCACTGTTTACATTTTTTGTCAAAAAGTCTGCAATCATATCATTAGTAGTCTTATATTGTATGTCAGTGTGCTGAAGTTTCACAGCTTCTCGCATGAAATGATGTTGTATATCAATATGCTTTGACCTACCATGATACACACTATTTTTGCTGAGATTAATAGCACTGTTGTTATCGCAGTATAATAATACTGGCTTTGCAGTAATAATCCCAAGTTCTTTAACAATTTTGTTGAGCCATATGGCTTCTTTAGTAGCTGCAGAAAGAGCCATATATTCGGCTTCTGTTGTACTAGTTGCAATGGTTGGTTGACGCTTACTACACCATGACACTGCACCACCTCCGATGAGGAAAACATATCCAGTGGTTGATCGTCGATCCCCAGCATCACCTCCATAGTTTGAGTCGCTGTAACCAAGGACATCAACACTATAGTCCTTTGAAAAAGACAATGTAGCATCTGTAGTGGCTCGAAGATACCGCATCATGCGCTTGACAGCATTCCAGTGAACCCTTGCCGGATTATTGGAGAACTGGCTAAGGAAATTCACAGCATAAGTTATATCTGGCCGTGTTGCTTGAGCTGCATAAAGAAGACTCCCAATGGCAGCCTGATAAGGAACAGGTAGCTTTTGTTCCTTACTAGTTGGTATCTGCAGTTTAGATATCACTTGATTTTGGTCTAATGGTGTTTGTACACCACGAGATTCATGCATATTATATTTGCAAAGCATACTCTCTACATACTGAGTTTGACTAAGGCTAATGGACCCTTTAGTTCTATCTCGTTCAATTTTAATTCCTAAGCAATAATTTGCTGGTACCAAGTCTTTCATTTCAAATTTTTCTTTAAGTTGTTGTTTTACCCAATTTTTAAGTTCTATGTTATTACTAAAAATGAGTAAGTCATCAACATAAATAGTAACAATAACAAGATCTTTATTTTCATTTATTTTAATATAGACACAACTATCAAAAGAACTTTACCTCAGTCCCATTTCTATTAAACCCTTTTCTAACAGTTGGTACCATAGTCTACCACTCTGCTTTAAACCATCTAATGCTTTGTTTAATTTTAGGACCTTTCCCTTTAAGTTTTGCTTGTAAAATTCTCTGAAACTGTCTGGAATTTTCATATAAATGTCTTCATTTAGAGTTCCCTGTACAAAAGCCATTACAGCATCCATTTGGTCAATTTCCCAATCATATAAGCTAATAAAACTCTTAATGTTACGTATCGGACAACTGGTGCAAATGTTTTCAGTATAATCTATTCCCTCAATCTGAGAATAGCCCTTAGCAACTAAACGTGTTTTTATATCTTTCAATCTTGCCTACTGAATTACATTTAATTTTGAAAACCCATTTACAATCTACAATGTTCTTATCATAAGGTTTATCTGTTATTTCCCATGTTTTGTTTTTAATATGGCCTAATATAGTCTCGTATATAGAATCCTTCCAATGGTTTGCATCATTGCCCCTTAATGCTTCATCAATGGTTTTCGGTTCAGAATACACACCATTTGTTGCTGCTGCCAAAGCTTTAACAAAGCACATTCAATCTAAATTTGGCATTGGCATTTCTGGCATCCCGTATGTGTCATATTCATAGTCCGTATAACTATTTGGGAATCTAAGTTTTCTGTTTCTAGTCAATGTAGGTAGCTCATCAACTACACTACTGTTGTCATGGCTGTCATTTTGAGCAGTATTATGTTCATCGTGATTAGATTTAATACTAGCATTAACTAATTCATGATTAGACTGAGTATTATCATTAACCATCCCTTTCAATTCACCGTTCTGATCTTCAGCTATTGCATTCTCAGTATCTGAAAATGTCGTAATCACGCTTCCACTGAATGAGGATTCATCATAGAATTTTGGCATATTACTTGCCTTTTTGTAGTACATTTCATTTTCCAAAAATTGTACATCTCGTGCATTTATTATTTCATAAGTTTTGGGATCTATTAATCGATAGCCTTTTCTATCCTGACAGTACCCCAACAAGCATTAATTCCTTTGCTTTTATATCCCACTTTTTTACGGTTTTTGTTTTGGAATGTGAGCAAATGCACGACATCCAAATACTCTAAAGTATTCTAAATTTGGCTTATCCCCATACCATTTTTCATAAGGGGTCATACCTGCAACTGCAATAGTTGGAGATATATTTTTTACAGTGATTTGCAGTTTGCAACTGCTTCAGCCCAATAATTTTGATCAAGGTGAGCATCCACCAACATTGATCGTGCTCGCTCTACAAGAGTTCTGTTACTACGTTCAGCTACACCCATTTGCTCTGGTGTAAATGGAATAGATTTTTGATGCTGAATTCCATTTGATGCTAAATAGTTATCCATCTCATTGTTTACATACTCAGTACTATTATCTGAGTGGTAAGATTTTGATTGATTTGCCAGTTTGCCTTTCAACAAATGCTTGAAATATTTTGAATTTTTCAAAAACTTTAGATTTATTTTTCAAAAAATAAAAAGTCATTTGCGACAAATCATCAATAAAACTAGTAAAGTAGCGAGAACCACCAATTGATGTAACATTCATCGGCCCACACAGGTCACTGTGTAGTATGCCTAATAACTCTTTTGCACGCTTAGCTTTTCCCTTGGGAAATGGTTGTCTAAGCATTTTGCCTTTAATGCATGACACACAATTTAACAATTTTCCGTTAAATGTAAAACCTTCAACCATATCTTTTAATCTGGTCATTCCTCCTTCACTTAAATGGCCCACCCTTTTATGTAATAATTCATTTGAAATATTTTTATCAGTAATTAAAGCCCACTCATTACATAAATCAAGAGAATACAAATTATCTCCCATACCTGTTCCAGTAGCAACTAAATGTTTACCATCATACACAAAACATCTTTCACTTGTAAAAGTACTAACCATTCCAAATACTTTATTTAAATACTTAATGGACAGCAAATTGGCTGTTAACTTCGGAACGTGTAAAACATTACTAAAAGTTACAGACTCCCCCCCCTTTTTTTTTTTATTTTCTGGATAAGAGGAAAGTTATTTTACCCTTACCTTCTACTTCTATTACTGAACTTCCTGTTTTTATTTGATGAATACTAGCATCCTGATAATCATCTAATAATTCTTTATGTGGAGTCATGTGGTAAGAAGCACAAGAATCCATGGACCAAATATTGGAATCTGGATTAGAATTAGCTACACTAATTTCCACTACATAAGCTTCTTCCCCCTTTTTTATGTTTTAATCCAACATTAGACTTTTTGTTAAACTTGTTTTCATTATATCTACCCTTTTTGAGAGGTGACTTCTGACAATCGGAGCTTTTGTGGCCAAACAAATCGCATTTAAAACATTTTCCTTTAAAGTACCTTTTGCCTCCAATATTTTTATTAACAAATGCATATTCCTTACTTTCATTGACTAGGGGTATTGAATCTTCGGCTAACAAGCGATTTTTAACATTGTCAACTGTTATTGCCTCACCACAATTTTTCAAAGCCATTATAAGAGGTTCAAACCTATCAGGTAAATTAGCTAAAATTATTCCTGCAATTAATTCTTCATCAGGTTTTAAACACCAGTAGATTTTAACTGCTGATAAGCTGAAATGGCCCTATGTAAATAGTCAGACATATTCTTACAATCAGTATAATGGGTATTCATTAATGTTTTAATTATTGAAACCTTTCTTGTGATTCCCTTATCCTCATATGTTTCAGCTAATACTTTCCAAGCTTCCTTTCCACTTGTTAAATCCCTTATATCATTGAAAATAATTTCACTTACCCCTTCAACTATATATGACAGAGCTTTGGTATCCTTTACTGGATCTTCTTTTGTACCCTCTACATAAGCCCATAAATCTAATTTAATAAGATGCATTTTCATGGAAAATTTGCAATCCATGTAATTTTCCCTTCCACTCAATTGTTTGTGACTAAATTAACCTTCTCCCCCTGGCATTTTTCCTTTTTTTAACTTTAATCAACAAGAGACAAAAAATTATAATTTGAGATAAATTCAAATAAATTTTCTATTGAATTAATTTTATTCTCAAAGAAACATTTGCCCAAATAATTAACAGTCAAAAATATTTGTACTAGTTAAGCTTTTGCAACCATGTGCTTTGGCTAACCGTAACATAACCATGTGGTCAATTTTGGTTAAAGTAATTCTAAAAATTTACAAATAGAATTAAATAAACAAAAAAAAAACTAGTCATTAGATTACTTATCCTCATTTCTTAATCTGGCCCGGGCCCATAACCTATTAGAAACTCAATATAGCAGAGAGTGGTTACTTGCATACATGAGAATAAATAATACACAACATACCTGTTGGGAGTTTGGAACACAAGTAAAGTTTTATTGGAGTGCACAGTTATAGAAGAATAAAAAACAGTGGCGCCATCTATGGGCCAAGAACATATTTAAAGCTAACCTTCGGAACATACAAAATGTCTGCAAAAGTGTTCATCCTTATTATAAGACATTATAATTCATGATTGTGCAGATAGAAAAACATGCATTGAACCGCAAATGCATGAATCCTCAAAATTTATTATTATGTTGAAAACATTTAATAAATTTCCACATGCGCCCCTGGTAACACATAAAATTTCCAATTAATATTCAGTTTTATGCCACACATTCTTCAATATTGTGTTATAAGATATTTCTCCCACTTTCCTAGCATGCCTTCGTAGTGTAGTGGTCAGCACACTGAGCCGGTATTTCAGAGGTCTGTGGTTCGATTCCCGGTGAAGGTGGTTGCTAATTTTTCGTCTCTTCTGCTTCCAAAAAATCCTAATGTCTCTACAGTGTCATTTCGTGAATAGCATCTGTGGTGTCACAGACTGGATATTAGGAAC